ATACACAGGGACATCCCCAGATAAGATACACAGAAATCTAATTGACTACATCTGTGGGAAGAGACAATGGTCTAACTCAATATCAACAGCAACTGCAGGGCCAGGAGCTAGCTGTGGAACAAACCACCAATTACTCATATGAAAGTTCAAGTTCAAGCTGAAGAAAATTAAAACAAGTCCTTAAGAGCCAATATATGACCTTGGGACGAGGCCACCTGAATTTTGAGAACTTCTCAAGAACAGATTTGATGCGTTGAACACTAATGACAGAAGACCTGATGGGCTGTGGGAGGACATCAAGAACATTACTCATGAAGAAAGCAAAACGTTACTTAAAAGACAAGAAAGAAGGAAAAAACCTAAGTAGATGTCAGAAGAGACTCTTAAAATTGCTCTTAAGCGCCGAGTAGCTAAGGCAAATGGAAGAAATGATGTTGTCAAAGAGCTGAAGAGAAAATGTCAAAGGACAGCTCAAGAAGACAGAGTAAAATAATATAATGAAGTGTGCAAAGACCTAGGGTTAGAAGACCAAAAAGGAGAACATACGCAACATAGCTTAAATGGAAAGTATTAAAGAAAAAAATTGAGGCCTCAAGTTGCAGTATAGAAAGATTGTATGGACAAAATATTGAATGATGCAGGAAGTATCAAAAGAAGATGGAAAGAATACACAGAGTCACTGTACCCAAAAGAACTAGTCAACATTCCACAATTTCAGGAGGTAGCATATGATCAAGAACCAATGATATCAAAGAAAGAAGTCCAATATGCACTGAAAGCATTAGTCAAAAACAAGGCTCCAGGAATTGATGAAATACCAAATGAAATGTTTCAACAAGCTAATGAAGTACTGGAAGTACTCACTCGTCTATGCCAGGAAATTGGGAAAACAGCTACTTGGCTAGCTGACTGGAAGAGATTTATATACCCATTAAAAAGAAAGGTGACCCAAAAGAATGCTCAACTTATAGAAGAGTATCATTGATATCACGTGCAAGTAAAATTTTACTGAAGATCATCCAACAATGGTTACAGCAGTCCATTGACAGGGAGGTGTCAGAGGGTCAGGCCAGCTTCAGAAAAGAACATGGAACAAGGGATATCATTGCTAATGTCAAATGGATCAAAGCAGAGAATACCATAAAGATGTGTACTTGTGTTTTATTGACTATGCCAAGGCATTTGACTGTGTGGGCCATAACAAATTCTGGATAACTTGAGAAGAATAGAAATCCCAGAACATTTCATTGTGCTCCTGCAGAACCTGTACATGGATCAAGAGACAGTTATGCAAATACAATAAAGAAATACTGCCTGGCTTACAATTAGGAAGTGTGCATGTGCAGAGGTCAGGAGGGGGGTTGGATCCATTCACCATATTTATTGAATCTCTATGCTGAGCAAATAATCAGAGAAGCTGGATTATATGAAGAACATTATGGCATCAGGATTGGAGGAAGGCTTATTAGCCTACATATCAAATGAGACAACCTTGCTTGCTGAAAGTAAGGAGAACATGAAGCGCTAGTTGATGAAAATCAAGGATTTCAGTCTTCAGTGTGGATTGTAACTCAATGTAAAGAAAACCCAAATCATCACAACTGGACCAAGAAAAGGTTGAAGTTGTCAAGGATTTTGTCTTACTTGGGTCCACAATCAACGCTCATAGAAGCGGCAGCCAAGAGATCAAATGATGCATCACATTGAGTAAATCTGCTGCAGAAGACCTTGTGAAAGTGTTGAACATCAAGGATGGTACTTTGAGGACTAAGTAAGGTGTGCCTGACCCAAGCGTGATATTTTCCATTCCTCATTGGCATGGGAAAGCTGGGCATTGACTAAGGAAGACAGATGAGGAATCGATGCATTTGAATTATGGCGCAGTCAAGATTATTGAAAGTACCATGAACTGCAGAACAAGAATCAACAAATCTGTCTTGAAAGAAGTACAACCAGAATGCTCCTTACTTGGGCCA